TCTAAAATTATGCATCCATGTAGTAGAGAAGCAAACTCTACATAATGGTGCTATTGTCCAACGAGTTACCAACTTGGGAATGTGCAAACCTGATCACAGTAACATCCAGCTGTCTTCTGTGCTAGATAAAATTATTTTCTGATCCCAGGTAGGGTCCTGAGGGACCAGTGGGAGCTTTTGACTTCTGTGAAGCAGAACATTTGGAAGCTGTGAATGAAAGTTCTATGCTTGTAGACATTGCAGCTAGCCTTGCTCTTAGTTTGTAAATGTCAGACCCAGTGCTCAGCTTCCCTGTGAGCTCTTCATGCTTCTCTGACAGCAGGAAAGGGGGCATTGCTGGTGGAACTGGCTGCTCCCCAGTTTCTGTGCCATGGCAAAGTGGAATCCTGCTGATCTGGGTGGGTCTGCAGGAGCAGTTCTCTAGGCCCCCATGAAAGCTAGGGAGTGTCATGGACATGTTGGAGAGGAAGGGGATAAGCTGGAATAAGCTGTCTGTCTATGCCTTTTAGGGCAGCTTCTCAACATGGTAAGAAACTGAACAGCTTCTGGAGTCTGGAGTAAAAGCAGCTGAGACCCAGGAGGCAAAGTGAGGAATTAAATGACCTTTTCTTGACTTTTTCTACACCTTCATTTCCAGTGACAACAGCTAACAATTGGCAGCAGTTTTAGTTACACTTTAAGGTTTTTATATGTTTACTTAGCAGCTCCATGGATGGTTTCAGATCAGATGTTGTTATTTTACACTTGTGGGATAAGATAGAGCTTATGGCAGAGATTATACTGAGTAACTAAACAGCCTTTCCCTTTTGCAGTCTTAGGGGCTTGCTCTGTGAACTGCTATTTGAAGACAGATCATTCATTCCAGAAAATAGGCTACAGAAGTTTCCTCTTTTTTGATGGTCCAATCCAAAAAACTCTTGGTTAAGTAGCCAAATAATTTTTACAAAAGCCTTTGTTTATGTAAAGAATAGGTGTTCAGACTACGTTTTCCATAATTCATGTCTGACATTTATCCTAAGTTAGTTGAAGGAACTGTGTCATGGTAAACAGTAACAAATAGGGCTGGCCTGTGAATGTCCTCAGGTGTAGGCTAGGACAAAGCCATAGGTGTAAGAGGAGAAATATATTCTCATCCTACCTTCAATTTTTTCTGTTTTAGGGTACCACATTTTTAGTTCTGTTTTTGTTGTTGTTGTTTCTCTCCTCCACAGCCCAAAATCTGTAGACTTGTAATAAAGAAACTTTGACACAGGGACAAAGAAGTTTGCCTGTGCCTTTGCTAAAGCCACTGACAGCATGAACAAACCAGTGCAGGAACAAACCTCTTGAGGTGGGCTGTAGCAACTTTCTGCAGAGAGCAAGAAAGACTTGGTAACTACCTGGTCCTTTCTTTGCTCCAGGAATAGTGCAACTACATGCTGTCCCTTCCCTTGGGCAGATGGCGATTTGGATGGTAATCTTGCAGTGAGTCCCTCCTGCTCAGCTTGTTCATGCTGTAACTGGAAAGTATTTTCCATGTGCATGCACTGCACTGACTCCCAAATGTGTGGAAAGAAGGACTGCATCAAGATCAGATTTGATCTAAAAACTTAAAAATAGCACTGGGAGGATAAACCTGGAATAGCTCCCTCCATCTACTGCGTACTCTGCTTAGCACTTCCTTTCACCCTGCAGCCCAGCCCATCACTCCCATGTGGTGTCACCGTTGCCATAGCATATGTTAGTTGCTGGACTGGTGCCATTGGTTTCCAGTGAGGTAGCACTGCTTATAGGTTTTGCTTATAACCCTTCTGATAAATTTCTGCATGTTTTTTTTGCTGTGACTCAGTTAATTGAATCCTTCTTATATGAGAAAAATGAAAAAATGCATGTGACAAAAGACCAAAATATCTAAATCTTGTGATGTCCTGCTGGTTAAAAATTATTAAAAATACTTCGTCATTAATACCCTGATTAAAAATACTTCAGACTTGGTGCTGTTGTTGTATGTGAGACAAAATGGCAAAAAAAATCTTTATTATCAGCAGATTTCATAAGGTCAGCTTCATCTGAACAACAGCCACAAAGAATCAGCATATTAAAAACTACTATTAGTTCTTCACATACTGCTTTTAATCTTCATTTTACTCCTGACCTTATTCATGTCATGAACTGTGAGTTCATGCAAGGTGACAAACTGGGATCTTAAAAATGCACCATTTCTCTGGCATTACACATACAAAAGTTTCATGAAGTTTACAATAGTCATAGCCAAAAAGCATTAGAAAAAAAAAATCTCTTAATTTACTCTTGTTTTTTTGTATTCAGAATTAAGCTATGTCAGGTATTTCTGCAAACGAACTGCATCCATTGCAGTTTCACTGAACTGAGAGAAAATTTGGAGTTTGTTTTTTTGTTTTTCCTCGATTTGTATTTTTTAAAAGCCTGTCAAGAAACATCAAGAGAGAGAAGAGAGGCAATCTTATATACAGGAAAGATTATTGCCACAACAGTAAATAAAGCTCCTCTTTTTTGGCTCAGTAACTTGAATGGCCTGAAGAGGACGGGTTGTAACTGCCCTGAAGCTCACTGAAAGGAACTTCATCTTCTTGGGGGTATTTATTAAACTGAAGATTCATCTCTCACAATGTACATTAATGTCTTGGCTTGAAAGACAGGTGTCTGCTAAGGAAGGCAAGGCCCTTCCTTGAAACGGAAAATGTAAACCCCCTCCCTCCAAATTATTATAATATTTAAATTAAGGGGCTCTCAGGCAAAGATACAGGAATAGGAATAGCAGTTCTTTACTAGGAAAATTTAAAAATACAAGTGCTATAGTACAAAAACAGAAAACAAAGCTCTTACAGAGCCAGAATACGACCTGACATCCTCTTGGTCAGGGGGTTGGTAGCAGTCCAAGTGGAATGGTGGCTGCAGCCCTCCTGGAGTGACAGGTGTGGTTCTGCTGAAGCAGGGATCCTATAGAAGGGTATAATTTTCTTCTGAAGGTCTGGTGGTGATGTAGATGGGCCTGGTCTTCATCTGGGAATCCAGCGGAGAAGAAAGCTGCTCCTCTGGGAATCCAGTGGGAAAAGGCCACTCTGATGTTCCAAATCTCAGATCATATCCAGATAGGAATGCCTGGCTCCTCCCTCTGGGCAGACCTTCTCCCAGTGGGATGAAGTAATTTTATCAGTCATTCCGTGAGGCTCAATGGCCCATTAACAGAAGATATTTCCTGGAGAGAGGATTGGTTTGTGGAATAGATAAACTGCACAATTAACAGAAGATAATTGCCCCACTTCTAACAGGTGGCAAATAGAATACACACCCCCAGCTAAATCTTTCAACCTAAGACAGTGAGAAAGGTGAAATAATTATGCATAGAACTGAGGAAGAAGTAATTACTGATCATTTAATAGCGTACATGCTAGACAGAGCATGTGTCCTTCTAATCCTCAAGAGAGCTTTTAGCCTTGCTCAAATGAGGGAAAAGTACAGGACCTTGCCTGGTGGGTCAGTGTGCAGGGGGTCTGAAGATCTGACAGACTCTGAAAACTGCTACCTGTGGCCTATCTTGACACAGAAACTGAAACGAGTACACAGCACAGGTACTGAGTTGTCTCTTGTTCAGCTGATTTCTTTGATGTTTTATGACAGTTTTTAGTGCTGATGTGGCGAAATAACTTCAGAATGTATAAAACCATAGCAGCTGCTGCAGGAGAATGTATCTGGAAACAAAATATCCTTCTCTCTCTAATTTGACCGAATTTCTTCCCTTACAAAACAACAGCACTGTCTCTATGAGCAGTTTTTTGTTAGGATAGGACTGGTCTGGAGTTTCAGAAGAGATGCCAGCCCAGCCATGTGGGAGAGAGGGCATACATGCTGAAACCAGATGTGATTTTCCTGAGATAAGAGAAAGCCAGCCACTGCCTGGTGATTTTTAATGGGATTAAAAGGTCTATAGGGCAGAAATGCCTATTGCCCAGTGTCAGGTTCTCCCCAGTATTATTGGCAGAAGAATATGGGGTTGTAATATCTACTGTTGGGCCCCCAGTGCCAGAAGATGGCCTATGCAGAGGCAATCCATCTATCTGTCAGGTCTTGATATATTAAATGGAATAAAATCATACACATTTCTTGTTTATTAACATTATATATCAAAAATATATACAGTCATGCTTCATTTTTGGTTTTTGAAGCAGAAAATATATAAAACAACTTCAAACTTCTCCTGGGGTAAGAAAAGATAATATCAAGTACTTATAAGAAAATTAATTGTAATGAATATCCAATCAGAAAATGTCAAATTAACTTTTATTGTAAGACAGTATTTTAGTTTATAGGCAGAGTACTACAGGATGCTGGAAATAAAGAAGTACCACAAGGATCCAAATGAAGAGACCCACCCTTTATGTTGCAGAAGAAAGATGCAAAGGACAAGTCTTCAGTCAGAGAGAGACAGAGGTGGCACACAGGGTCAGCCTTAAGGGTGAGTGGGTGCTGGCAAGCCCAGCTAGCTGCAGAGTTACTTTAATACACAGCCTCCCTCAAATTCCTGGAACTGATTAGTTGCCAACTGCAAGGAAGGGAATGGAGGCAATTTTTGAGTGGCGTAATTTCTGTGATCTTCTCCTCCAGACTGGCATGCCCTTATGCTACATACAGAACTGCTGCTGAACCAGTCAATGCAATGACATCGCTCTCCACTGTCAGAAAGCCAAAGGAAATCTGCTCATGATTTCTCCACCTGTTCCACAGAGTCCTGCATAACAAGGCCAGGAGACAGGAGCCTCTCTGCGCTTGCAGGGACTGGCAATTCCTGCCCAAATCACAATTACTCCTTCTGAAACAGGCCCTAGCTTAACAGACGAGCAGGTTTATCGTGCCCAAAACTGGGAGAAACCTGCCCAAAGACACGTTCCCAGCAGAAAAAGCTGCCTGTTAAATTTCCGCCGCCTCCCCCGCGCCGCAAGCGCCGCCGCCCCCGCGCCCCTCGCCCCCGCCGCTGCGCCGGGGATGGCCGCGGATGAGGAGACACCTGGGTTTCCCTGGCAACAGGTGCCAGGCGGCCGGGGGAGCCGGGAGAGCCCGGGTTTCCCCGCTCGGCTCCGCGCCGCCGCCGGCCCCGGGCGCGCCTCGCCGCCTCGCTGGGCTGGGCCGGGCTGGTCCGGCCGCCCCTGCCCCGCGGGGTCCCCAGGCCGGCCCCGCCGCCCCTGGCAGGAGCAGCCGGGGGAGCGGGCGAGCAGCGGCCCCGCCCGCAGCGGAAGGTAAGAGGGATGCTGCCCGTGGCGGGGACGGGGCGATGCAGGGTCCCCGGGGCAGCCCTCGGGGTCAGGCACCGGGCCGTGCATGGCGCACCTGCTTCGGGGAGGGTGCAGCTCCTCAGCTCAGAGCTGAGCCCTGCTTCCCTGGGGCCGGGGCTCGCAGGCTTCCCCCTCACTGCCCTCCGCCTCCGCCACCCTGCCCGCCCGGGGCATCTCCTTTCCTAGCCTCTGCCACTGCGCTTGGCTTCGCCGACGGCCTCCGCTTGGCTTGGCTTGGCTTGGCTTGGCTTGGCTGGACATCCCCACAACCTGTCCCAGACAGCCGCCCCTGCTTGTGCCCTCGGGGCCGCTTGGCTCTAGCCTAGGCCTGGGCCCACACAGGTGCCATCTGCCCTTCCATGCGCTTCAACCAGCCAAGGCTTGCCCGCTTCCCCCTTTATTTCTTCTTGTTTACATTTGTCCTTAGCGAAGCCTGGGCCTCGCTGGTGCCGTGTGCCCCCGGGCCGGCGGGGCAGTGGCGGTGCCGGGCCCGTGCGCTCCCTCCCGGCGCTCCGTGCAAGATCCCGGTACGTCGGGGCGGATTCTGCCGCCTGAGCTCTGCTGCCCGAGCAGGGCACAGACGCTCCCGGCTGGGCACGGCTTTCTGTGGCGAGGCCGTGCGGCTCGGGAGCCGAGCTGGCTCCTGGGTGGGCGGTGAGCTCATGTCTGTCTGTCTGTCTGTCTGCGCGTGGCCCGGAGGCAGACAGGCCCGCGGGCCAAGGCTCCGCTCCCCCGGCGGCCTGCGGGCCCCTGCCCGAGGGGCATCCCCCAGTTTGCGCCGCTGGGTGCGGTCACACGGCCATGGGATGTACTGCAAGGCTTGCCACGTTGCGGCCAAGTAAATCCTTTCTTACTGCTTTATTTTCTTGCCTTGAAACTCAAACCTAAGGCACAGCGTTCTCTCAAAAGAGAACAGCTCATATCCTGGTACATATTCTTAAAAAAAATCCCAAACAGGACCTTTACAAATGCAAAAAACATTAAAAATAATCTTTAGGAAAAGTTCTTTAAAAATTATCCCCAGTTAACATTTGCCTATTTGTTTTGTAATAGTAACACTTCAGTGGTGCTTTCTACTAAGGTTAGATGTCAGATGCTCTTCCCATAAAATTTACCAAGAGAATGGGGTTGGTTGGTGATCTCAGGCACTGATACAACAACAGTATCACAAGCAAAGGTACAAATTGACCTTGAATGTCAATTAACAGAAGGCTTTATCCATGATTTTTTATTGCACACAAGATTTCTGGGCCCCTGTGTCCCTGTGTTTCCTTTGTGTTGTGTTTGCAGAAGAAGAAGAAGCACAAAGCTCCTTTTACGTTGCTAAAACCAAAAGTTGTTTATAGTTTTGTGGCCAGTGTGATATTTCCTGATAATGTAAAAATTCAATTGAAAAAGGAAACAATGTGTTGCCTTGCATTGTTCCTCCAAATAGCTTAGATGGAGATAACTTGATAAAAACATTTCTATCACACCCTCTGGTTAGTTAAGTGCAGCTATTATGGTTCCAAAAATAGATAGTCCCTGAAAGTGCCTGAAATCTGCAACATGGAGGTCATTTCTGCACAGAGCCTTTTCTGCCACAGCCATTCTGCCTTAAAATTGTCATGGACTTCTCCTCTGTCTATTTCTTTAATTCACTCATAGTTTTTCATTGTTCTATAAAATAGATGCATAAATGAAATCGAAGAGAGACAAGATTGTAGTCAGAAAGTAGCCAACAATAATTGTTTGATGCAATAAAAATAAAAGCATTTAGTGGTTTGAAATAAGGAAAATTATCACTTTGAAAATGGCGTTTGGAAAAACTCCATGACTAACATTCTTTAAGAAATGTATCTACTAAATAGTGAATAACAAACCAATATCTCTATAAACTATCCACAGAATTGCTTCTTTGTCTCATTTTTCAATGACTTATAATGTTTTGGCTTTCCAGCATTATTGGTACTAAATCAGCTGGCTGACTGTGGGTATGTCTGTACAAAGGAGTTGCAAGAGTCGCACAAAGCCCAGTAGGAGTGTGCTGGGATGGGGGTTGGGAGATCAGGGCCATTTCCAGAAGGAGTAGGATGCTTTCCTTGTGCTTAGCCTCGGGCATGGACATGGCTTACTCCTTCTCTCAGTCAGAAAAGGAACTTCAGAGGCTGAAGCACACACCCGGATGGCTGCTAATGAGACTGTTCTGTCTCTTCATATATTTCAAAATCTACATGCCATGTTTCAGTCTCTGGCCTTCTGGGCATTTGTGTCTAATTAGGCTGGAGGGCCTCCAGTTGAAGATTACCTATGCTGCTTGGTGCTCAATTTCTTTATATGACTTTGGCAATAAAGCAGATTACCGTGGGTTTATGTGCAAGCAAATTAGAGACAGATGTAAGCTGTCTTATAAGCTCTGTTCCTGTTTTCTTAGCACGAACTGAATTCCACCATCATCTGTTTCTTTCTACATAAAATTTGTAGTGTGCTGATTGTAGCATATTTATAACTGGGTGTTATGTACTCTGTAAAATGTGAGACTTTTAAATACTTCATTTTCTCTTGCCTTCTTTTTTTTCCCAAATGAAAACCAATACTGCTTCAAGAAAAGTTTCCCAGTTCCAGATAGAAATAATGAACAAGGGAAAAAGACTTTGGGCTGAGTAGAGCTATACATAGCACAAATAACAACAAATTTTTTAAGTTTGTTTATGTTTTCATAACAGCCTAGAGTAGAATGGAGAAAACAAAACACATAGTACCTGAACTGGTGTTTAACAGTATGAAGTAATATTGCATTGTTTAGGACTGCTATTTACTGGTACTTAAAAAAAAAAAAATCCCAAACAAAGTCCATGTGCATTATAGGAGAATTATGCAAAAACTGCTAAGACTGTCTCTTTGGTATCACTGAATAAATAAGCCATATTGTAAAGTTACAGAATCATAGAATGGTTTGGGTTGGAAGAGACCTTAAAGATCATCTCATTTCAAGCGCTTGTCAAGCTTGAAATTTCATTTCAAGCTCTTGTCAAGCAGGGAACCTTTCACTAGACCAGGCTGCTCAGAGCCCCATTGAACCTGGCCTTGAACAGTTCCAGGGCTGGGTCATCCAAAGCTTCTCTGGGGAACCTGTGCAGTGCCTCACCACCCTCACACTAAAGATTTTTTTCTTAAGAACTGATCTAAACCTGCCCTATTTGAACTTTTAAAAGAGTGGTTTAAAGTCATTCCTGCTTGTCCTATCACTACAAGCCGTTGTAAAAATTTCCTCTCCAGCTCTGCTGTAGCCCCTTTAGTTACTGGAACCCCAACTCTCTCAGCCTGTCTTCATAGGAGAAATGTTCCAGGCTTCTCTGTGGCCTTCCTCTGGACTTGCTCCAAAAGGTCCCTGTTCCTCCTGTGCTGGATGCAGTGCTCCAGGTGGGGTCACGTGAGAGCAAAGTAGAGGGGCAGAAAAATCCTCTTTCTAGGTGCTAGATCCACTCTTAGGATGGATCTCTGCTTTTGTTAAGCCAAAACCTGAAGTGAAATCTCAATCCCAGTGAGCTAAATGACAAGATTTTCTGAACAATTGTCTCATCTTACATGTCAGGAGAGCTGGGTATGTATTCAAAGGTGGTTGCCACCTTAAAAGAACCTTAAAACATCTAGAAATACATGTTAAAATGAAGTCTAAAACCCATCAGATTCTTTAAAAGTTAGGTTTTGGAATCAGAAACACTGTGTTTGAAAACAAAATTCATTATGACCTCATTAGGAGGACTTAAGAATAACTGTCACCTGATACCCAAACTCTTGCTTAATATAAATCTTAGGGATTTTACCTCAAGTTCCCCTGCGACAGCTCTGCAGAAATGTTTTGGCACTGAGATGGTGAGAAACAGTGCACCATGAAAAGTGAATGGCTTCTGCCTGTCAGGCTCCCAGATTTTTCCCTGTGATTGTGCAGTTTGATAAAATAATTTTTTTGTTTTTGAAGAAAAAGAATTACAGAAGAAACACTGATACATAATCCTTGGATTTAAATTGTATTATTGAAGTAGTTCTGCATTTGAGAATGCTCTAAAAAAAACCCAACACTTTGTGTTTATAGGACTTGGAGTCCCGGTAAACTCATTATTCCTAATATTGCATATGTTATGAAAAAGAAAAAAGGTTGCCTGAGTGTCAAATAATGACAGATGTTTTTTTTTCATCACCAGAAATACTGAACAGCCACCCTTTTGTGGGCAACTTTTATAATAAAGGATTTTTTTTCTTTATGAATAGTTGAAACAACTGGGACAGGCAATCACACCTGAAATGTCTCTGCTTTCATTTCTGGAATACAGAGGAGTAAGAGGTGAGGAGGCATTGCCTGGTGGCAGGAGTTGAATGCTTGGGAATGGGTGTGGTGGAATCCCTGCCCTCTCCCTCCCCAAACCCTGCTGAGGGACAGCCTTGCAATGCCTTTGGAGTCTGTTTCTGGACCTTGTGCTGGCATCCTCTATTTACAAAGGAATACAACAGCACACTTCTATTTATCATAGTCATTCATTTTCATAGAGAGCAAGGTGACTGATCAATAGTGGAATGTGCCTTCAGAAGAAGCTGAGCTATTTTTCATGGGAAAACTATCACTTTACAACCCCTTTTTGATACTGTAATGCTCCAGAGATGAACAAAAATCTGCAAACACTAACCTTGAAAAGAAAACATGTTTGGGCCTGATGGAGGAAATGCAGGTAATCTTGTTAGAGAGCAATCTGAAAAGATCTCAGAAACTGCAAACCTAAGTTTAGTTGGTGTTGGCCAAAATAGTTTTCAAGTGGAGGGCTTCATAATTATTTTGTATATCAGATATGTGTTTCAAATGTAAAGGAGAGGTTAAATGCCTTAATGACTTAGGAAGGCAATAGCCTCATTTATCAAAAAGATAAGAGGAACCCAGATGACAGAATTATCAATATTCTGCAGGGAAAGAAAGCATATGGTAGAATTAA